TGCACTTTAAAAACTTCCCATCGACGGTCGACCCATCTAGACAGCCTCGTCTCGTGTTGACAGGAGAGTTCCCAGGTTTCATCAGAGTGAAACTTATAAACCGGAACTACTGAAGCAACGAAAGTGCAAAGTGCCCCCTCCCTCGTGGGAATACTGCGAGGGGTCGTATTTTGTCGAGGAAACTTTTTTTGATGATTTGTTTTACGGACTCTATAAAGGGTGGGATGGGGGTCGTATTCGGCCGTCGTTCGGAAGGGAGGGAGGCCGTGTTCGCGGTGTTGGGTTTCCCCGATTGTGAAGTTTTCACAGTTTTTCCCGTTTCACATGCGCTATATAACCCCGCCCTGACAGCTCGACCAGAGGAGAGAACTAGGAGGGGGAGGGGTCGTATCCTTAGGGAAGGGAATCTCCAACTATTAAGGTGCTCTGATGGGGGTCCCAATGCCCTCCGCCACTCGACGGGCAACATTTCGGGGAAAAACCGGAAATTTTTTGAGAAATCCCGGAAAATGCGGTAATAAGCTGGGAGAAGTTGACAAGGATGGGGAAGGGAGGAGTAATATGTTTTGAAAATTTTCCCTAGCAGCAGGACATGCCCTGGTGAGAGCAGGACCCTCGTCTGATAGTTCCCTTCACTACAAACCAGATCTAGAAATGCTACTCCCGTGCTTATGTTTGTGCTTAGTGCTTTTTGGTGCTTATTTTTTTTACTTTTCACGCCACCAAGTCTGGCAGATCTTGCGAGAACTTAGATGAACTTCCGCTAATAATTGAGTGAACTTCTACACAATGTTACCTATATTTCCAGCACCTGATTTTTTTCATCCAAAATGTTTTCCAGAATTTATATTAGCACCTGTGATGCCGCTGCTCTCACTTCTACGAGTCAAACGACGGGGCGTGGCATGGGTCTCATTCACGTTGATGCTGCTTCAGCTGATCGTTCTCGCCAATGCGCAATTAACAGACAACTGTAGGTCTCATATACTTCACTACCTCTTCATTCTTCGCTTCGGGGCACGTCATCGTTGGTGCTATCCGATCTGAGAGGGAGGTAGTCCAGTTTTTCAGAGAGAGGGAAGATCGTATGTATTTAGACTGTGGAAAATTTCCCGTGCTTGTTAACTGCGTTTCAGACACTATTTATCTGCCGTATAAGACCAACTATATCCGATAGGTCGGATCTCTCTTCCTCCGCTTTCTGGCTAGATAAATGTCAAGAGGGGGGGAGGGTCCTCTGTCGGGAAAATTCGCCATCGGTACAGGGCACATTCATTAATTGGGGAATTCGCTGAAGCTCGTACGACCCCCCCTCTCCTAAAAGGTGGCTTGCCTTAGTTTGCTACTCATCGAGCTGTCGTGGGGGGGGGTATATATACGGAAAAACTCGCGGAAAATACGCCCCCCTCCCTTCCACATCCACATGATAGGCAAGGCAATGCCACTTGCTCTAGCCTCATAATTTGGGCACGTCCGGCAGCCGGGGTAAAATTTCAGGAAATACGATCCCCTTGATTCCCTTCTGTGATACGACCCCCTTCCCTTTCACATCCTTCCACACCACTTTCAAAGATCAACTTTCTACCGTTTCTCCGGGATTTCCCCAAACGATTTCCTAGAAGTTTTGCTGTAGAGCGGGGTGGGCTGGAGGTATGAAGTACACATAAAACAAGGGGGTATATAGTACATATAAAACAAGAAAAAAACCACGAAAAGTCACAACCGCCAGAAAGCAAGTTACGATCCCCCTTCCCCTCTTTCTCATCCTACTTACCACTTTCTTAAACTTTCCCAATTTCCTCCCACTTCTTCCAAGTTTCGGCATTTCCCAAGAATTTTCCTACTTTTTTCCCTGAATTTATTTTGCTGTCGAGCGAAGGGGGAAAGGGGAGGTGGGGGACGGGGGATATGTAGCACAAGTGGAATAGAAAACCGCGATGCGACCCCCGCCCCTCTCCCAACAACGAGCAAACACATCCCCCTTTATAGCTCCGTGAAACAAGAAAAACCAACTATCAAAATAAATCTTCTCAGACCAGATGCGACCCCCCAGCGACCAAATACGACCCCCTGTTGCGGAAACACCAATGATGATGTTCCCTGACTAGCACATTTGTTTTACTTCTTCCTCTTCATTACATAGATGTCTATTGCTTTATAGCTGAGTTGCCGGCTATTCCTAGCCGGTCAAGCGTCGCCGATGTCGACCTTACCAAATTCGGCGCCAATGACGAACAGAGACTTTTCCGGTAGGTGTAAATATTTAGCGTTTATACTTCGCGATCCGAGTTATTGGCTCGGATCGGACTGCGAAGAGCGAGGCGCTCTTAAGCCATTATAAGCAGTCCTGTGATGCGATAATTTTGCAGATACCTGCTGCAGGACTACGATAAGGCTGTACGGCCAGTGTTCAATGCCACCAAAATTGTCAAAGTATACATCGGTCTCACCCTCACGCATATTTTCAACATCGTAAGTGCCAAGCTATCCGTTCTCTTGCTCGAAACATTTTGGAATGCCAGCGACTGTTGTGCCGGCAAAGTCATTTAAAAATCTGGATTCTCCGAATTAGGCTTGAAATAACTTTTGTGACCCCTGATCACTTTTGTTTTCCGCTTTCGCCGTTCGTGAATAGAGCTGGAATTGAATCGGGAAACCCATTAGTGGTTGATGTCGTCCAAAATGAGCAATATGGGTCCCGGAGAGGGGTGGATCGAATTAATGGAAAACTTCATCATGGCTATTGAGAGTACAAACCTATAAAGAGAAAACTGGGCCCTAAAACCTCTTCCGATAGAAATGGGAGGCGAGCTCTCGAACGAGCCGCCAAGCAAGGGACAAAGTTTTCTATAATTTGGTACAGAGCAGAGTGGGAAATTTATACTTGAATGAGGTAAAAAGAATTGATTCTGATCGTAAAGAAGCGGTGAGGTTGCATGAGAAAAGCTCTCCAGGAGTAAAACACGATCTTTGACGTGGTTGGAAGGATCTGTTTCCACTGCGGCTTTCAACAATCACCTGCATCACCTGTGCTCCCGTTGATCATCGAGTTCCTCGACGTTTCACTTGCGAGCTTGGGGCGCGAGTAACGATCTCCATTTTCTTCCCTGCCATACGTAGCAAGAGTTGTCCAATGAATTCTCTTTGCGTCAGAGACACGGATGTGAACTCATTTCACCATTCCGTCCAGAGCTTTCCAACGAAGAACTTTGCTGGACCACATCGCAACAGGCGGTCGTCCGGGCAGGCGTTCGCTTGACATCCCGTGGAATCCAGTCGGTGACTGCTCTGGTCCAGCGGTCGTCCTCGAAACGCATGACGTGTCCGGCCCACCTGATCTTCGAAACCTTGGCAAATGCGGCGGCGTCTCTGATCTTCGATCGTTGGCGGAGTGCGGGAGCTC